TTCAGGGAAGACCTCTACCCTCCAGTGTCACTACCAGTTCAGGACCGGCCATAAATATCATAATATAAACACACACAGAGAAATACTATTTTTAAACGTGTATATAAAAAGTTCCCATTTGTGTTAAAAACAGAACAAAAAGAGAGGGCGAGAAGAGAAGCATATATGTTTATGTGAACAGAATATTTCTGGGCGAATACACCAAAAACAAGTTGCAGCATTTTTCTCTGAGGTGGGGCCTGTAGAACTGGGGGCCAGGCATGGGACACAGATGGACACCTTTTGTTTGTACTATCAGAATTTTATTTTATGTTTTATTTTGAGAGTATGCTTATTAAAGCTGGGACAATCAAACAAGGAAGGGCCTAGGATAGAAGAAGCAAGAGGGGAGCCCGGGCGGGGCTGCTGTCAGCTCACTGGGAAGTCAGAGGACCGGCCATAAATATAATATAAACACACACAGAGAAACACTATTTTTAAACGTGTATATAAAAAGTTCCCATTTGTGTTAAAAACAGAACAAAAAGAGAGGGCGAGAAGAGAAGCATATATGTTTATGTGAACAGAATATTTCTGGGCAAATACACCAAAAACAAGTTGCAGCATTTTTCTCTGAGGTGGGGCCTGTAGAACTGGGGGCCAGGCATGGGAGACAGATGGACACCTTTTGTTTGTACTATCAGAATTTTATTTTATGTTTTATTTTGAGAGTATGCTTATTAAAGCTGGGACAATCAAACAAGGAAGGGCCTAGGATAGAAGAAGCAAGAGGGGAGCCTGGGCGGGGCTGCTGTCAGCTCACTGGGAAGTCAGAGATAAGGGGGCCTTGGGGACAGGTTCAGGGATTAGCCTGGGAACAGCTGCTGCTGCCCACCGCTCCCCTGGTTGCAAGTCTCGTGGGGTCCCTTGGAGTTTACGAGATGCATGTCTGTGGGGGGAAAAGAGGAGAAAGGGAAAGGTGCGGGCGTGCTCCTGGGAGGGACAGTGTGCCCCTGTCAGAATTTGCTTAATCACCCGCATATTTTATCTATTCAAGAAAAGAAATATATATATTTTAAATATCAGGATTTATATTGGGTCCTGTGATCCAGCAATGAATTACATTTCTAGCAATTTATCCTAAGAAGCTAATCAGAGAAACTACAGGATGCTCAGCACAGCATTATTAACACTAGAGGCCTGGTGCACGAATTCATGCTCAGAAAACCTACTTTGTAACGTACTGTGTGACTGTAGGGACCGGTGAGATAGAGAGGAGTACATTTGCAGAAAAACAAAGAGCACCCTGCAGGGACAGCTACCCTGGCACCCCCACCTCCATATGAACTTCTTCCTGAATCGGGGGACCTTCATTAGTACCTCACCCACCAGTGGTAAGTCATTCCATCTCCCATAACCCCACCAGGCTTAGCCCACAAGGTCTGTGGTCTCTGTAACTGTTCAAACCCCCATCGCCTATAAAAATCAGTAAAATAAAACCCACACACTCAGGAGTCCCCCACATGGAGTTCAGATTCCCTCTTCACTGACATCAAGCAATGTTCAGTTTTGAAGGAAAAAGGGGACTTTTCCAATGAAAAGTCACACAAATCATCTTCACTGTCCCAACCCTCACCCTGTGTCAACTGGCCCTGGAAACTCGCCATCCCAGCCAGCTGGCAAGGGCCTCTTGTGTGATTTTGGAGCTGTGCTTGGCACACGCCTTCACTGCGCTGTTGGTGTCACAGTCCACCTCGCCCATCTTTTGAATCACATGAGAGGCTCCTTACAATAATCAAATCAGAGCCCACAGCCACCTCCCTGGAGATTTCACCATCCAGCGGGATGTCTGGGTAGGGCCAGAGTCAGGATATTTTAACAATCATCCCCGATAATTCAGATGACCAGGTGAGTTTGGGAGGGGAAAAACTGACTCAGACAGACAGCCTGGAAAGCAGCCAGCAGTGATCTCTGGGGTCAGGTGACTTCAGGTGACCTCCCAGGGCTGCCTGAGTGTGTGTGTATGTCTGTGCATAGAGGGGTGGGGTGGAGGTGGGACTGGAGTCCTGGCCTCCTGAATCCCAATCACACCAACAAGGTTCTGCTTTAGATGAAAAGCCTACCCTTTGCCTTAGGGGGCTGTGCTGACACTGTCTCCCTGCTGTCCCATGGAGAGGCTCCAGCAGAGGGTCGCTCTGCTATCCAGGAAGTGTCCCTGAGCAATGCACTCCCCACTTCCCATACCTCGTCCAAGGTGGCCCAACACATTGAACCTGACACACCCATTTGAAGTACCTTCTTCAGAAACCACTCGGAGAGCTGAGGCACTTCCACAAACTTCTGGCAGAAGATTTCAGAAGGATCCCTTGGGGCCAGAGGCAACCCCCCAACCCCCACCCCCGGGGACCTTCTCTGGAATGTTCTCTTTAAAGGATGCATTCACAGATCGCCATCACAGATGTGCCCACCCCATGGACCCTTCGCTTCTCTGAGGGCACAATTAGTCCCACCCAGGCCCAGACGTTCTCTGGAAAAGCGAAGGCTCCTGGATGAGCAGAAGCGGCCCGTCCCATGGAGCGGCCCCAGGCCGGGTGACTAACCATGAGCAGAGCCAGCCCGGCTGGTTTCAGCTCAGTGGGACGGAGTGGACACAGAACACAAGCCTGTCAGCTGCCGGCTGAAACGCTATGATCCCAGGCTAAGCCGGGCCAACCCCGCGCTGGGTCAGTGATTCTAGCCGCGGGGTGGGAAAGCCGGAGGGATTACCACCTGCTCAGGCCGCTAGGCTGTCTCCGCCTTGCTAATTCCACCGCAATTACAGGGGGATCTCGGGAGTTCTGTCCTCTTCTTTTAGAAATGGAAGCTGAGTCGCCCAGCTAGGGCCACCGGCAGACCCTAAAGGAGAAGCTGTTCCCATAGCCATTTAGTCATCTGGGGAACAGACATGAGTATTTGTGATATGCCAGGCACTGGACATAGTCGTAAACAAAGGGCAGAACCGGGGCCTCAGTAAACAGGAAGCCAGGAAGACAATTTCAGAGTGATTCAGCACTAGAGGGCCTGGGGAGGAAGAGCTTCTTTGAATGGACAGGTCAGGGATGCAAGATTTGAGCCTCATCCCCAATGATAACTAAGGAGCCATCCATGAAAAGAGGAAGAGCATTCCACACAGCAGCCAAAGCATGTGCAAAGGCCCTGAGACAGAAACAAGCGTGGCCAGTTCAATCAAGGAAAAGAAGTGGGCCAGCTGGCTATGGTGCAGGGAGCAGTGGGCAATGAGACTGGAGAGGCAGGCAGGTCCGCTCATGCTCGATGGAGGCAGGAGAAGAGTTTAGGCCACATTCTAACACAACAGGAGGGCTTCTGGCAGGGAGAGTGAGGAAGGAAGACGTTCCCAGCTCCACTGCTCCACCAACCTGCCTCCCCACACAGTACAGCTGCAGGGGTTACATAGGATTTCTCTCCTTAATCAGGTCCGCTCATGTCACTCATCTAAGGGCGGCCTCCATGACAAAAACCAAACTCTTCTGAAGAGCCGGGCGGCAGCACACGACAGCTGACTGTCCCTCCCCCACTGACCTCCCCCAAACTGCTTCTGCTTGGCTCTCCCCAGCCAGCGGCTCTGAGCCATGCCCAGGAACAGAGGGAACTGGTTTGGGCCGGCCTGGTGCAGGGCTGTCTATAATTACTCCCTCGGCTTTGCTTTCTCCCCCTCCCAAGGCGGAGGAAGCGGTCTCAGGTCTCCCAGGCGGAGCCACCAACCTCCAGCGACTGCCATATGGAGGAGCGAGCGGTGCCAGGAGCGCACAGACGGCCCGGCGGGACCTGGGCCAGGCGGTCTGCGGTGCAGTCTTAGCCTCCCTCCCTCCCTCCTCCATCCTCTGGGCATTTCCAGCTCCCACCAACATGCCACCTACCCCACCTGCAGTTTCCTAAGGACCTCGAAAAGGCAGCGCAGATGGGGTTCACTCCCATTTTGGGTCCTCCTCCACAGGCCCTCTCCCTCCTGTCCCCCGGTGGTGCCACAGCTACCAGCCCTCAGTTCTCCTGAGACTTAACACCCTGCCCTGGTTCTCTAGCCAGCGCCCTTGGTGGAAGAATGGGCCCTCAGCGGTCCTGTCCCGCCCTTGCCTTCTCCCATGTGCTAGGCATCGTCATTACTCCTTATAATCACAACCACGGCTCCGCCTGAAGGGACAGAGTTCCTCACAATAACCCTTGGGGTCCTCGCCAGGGTATTTGTAAATCCTCCTGCTACAAAGGAGGCGGCTGGCTGGGCTCAGGGGTGTTAAGGGGCTTGTCCAAGCCCACACGGCCAGGAAGCGGTGGGGCCCAACGGGGACTTGGCCCTGGGGATGTCTTGCCCTTGCCTCTCCCTCACTCAGGGGCCTGGGAGGCTCCCCTCCTCCTGTGAGTCTTCTGGAAAATGAGGAGGCAGACAGAGTCCAATAGATTAAACAGCCAACCGCTCAGGTTTCCATCATCTGACAAGCAGACTGCTCTCCCTGGAGGCCTGATGGGTGGCCCCTAAGCAAGGGAGGGCTTGGTCCAGCCAGCGCCCCCGGAGCCCTGGCCCACCGCACAGTGCTGAAGGCAGAGGAACATTAGGGAACAGAAAGGCCCAGCCCGC